ATATATGAGCATACTTGAGGGAGAGATCCTCTGCCAGTTTAACAAAATTTTAACAAAATTATTAAGCCCTTTATTGCCACTATTTGAGCTGAATTGCCTGCTAGGCAATGTTAATAGACGAGAAGCTTGTATTTATATCTGGTTACAAGGATTACAAATGAAGAGCAACAAATTAAATATTTCACGATATATTTTTAGCATTCCGACCAAGTTCAAACGTGCAAAATAACCACAAAATAGCAAGTTGGCCAACAATTTAAAATTTGTATAAATAACACACACAAACTTATGTGGAATGGGGTCAGGAAACAAATTTTAGAAAGTTTGACAAAACTCATTTGTATGCATTTTGTTTAATTTTACAATTTCAATTATTAAGCATTGTTATTAAGTTATTAACAGCATTTAAATTCCCACTAGAAATTTTATCGTTAAAAAATGCACATAAAATAGAAATATAAAAGGATTCGACTCATAAAAATCAAAACTAACAGTTTTCAGCATTAAAATCAAAAACTTATGTTGTTGGGAAAAAAAATATTTTTAAATACAAAATTCTCGAAATCATTTGTTTTTATATTAAGTAGAGTAAGATTATATATATATATATATATATATATATATATATATATTGTCTCAACAGTTAAGCCAGTAGAGAAAAGCTCTATTCAAGTTAAACAAAATGCACACATGTCCGACAATAATGAAGCTATTAGTTTATAGGTTATTAGAGACAACATCCTAATTGGCTTCACTGAATTCAAATTTATTCAGGTAAATAAATATTCAATGTGTACAAATGAAGTAAATTCACATATAAATATGAATTTTGTAGTGTTGCTTGCAGACATGAGCTGAGCTGAGCTTAGGGCCAACACATTGGCCAGCTTACATTATAAGCCCCAACACGCAACTAACCTCCAGCCCCTCTTCAATTACACCAGTTTCTAAGTACTTGTACTATATGCTCTAGTACACACACACACGCACGCACACACACACTGAGCAGTATAATTATCAAATGAGAGGATGATTCCGCATGTCTGCGTACAAAAGTTTCGCATAGTTCATTGCACTGGGCTGTGGCTGGGGCTCTGGCTCTGACTGTGGCAAGGGACTTGCTTGCCATTCCCTTTGCCGTTTAGTGCTTCAAATCAATACGCATACGCACTGTTGTACACGGGCACAGAATCAGTCCCCTGCAAACATTTGCATAATTTGGAAATGCTCACTTAGATTTCGATGCCAGCTCCCGCTTTGCACATTTGCACATTTGCACAGCGATCACAAGGAGTGAAAAAAAATTATGCAAATTTATTTGAAAAGTAAAAATATCCGGATACTGTTCCCATTGGAGGCATGCAGCTGGCAACGAGTCTGGCGTCTAGCGCCTGGGCCAAGGTGTTCCCAAGCATTTATCGCCTGCCTTGCCAGCAATTTGGCTAACTCTCTGCTCGGGCTTTGCCAGTTTGTCTGGCTCTTTTGGCCTGGCTGTTTGCCGCTTTTATGTGGCTTAAATCGCTGGCATATACCGCCTGCCTTTTCGCCTTGCTGCGTTACTGGCCACAGTCGTTAGGCTACTTAGTTTTTTTTTTTTTGCTTGTTTTTTCCTGTTTTGTCATGTGGTCCTCGTTTTGGTTAAACTTAGTTCCCATGGCGTTGTAATTAAAAAAAATTATGGCCAGAACTTGTAAGTTGTGTTTCTGCCAACCTCAGTTTTAAAGTTGTGTTTTACGTAAGCCAAGTTTTCAGAGTTTTATACGGCCTCTAATTGATATATGCACGTACTGCTACTTAAACTCTCAGCTCAGGGAAGGTTTATAAGCAGAAAGTGTGGCAAGTTTTAACTTTCAACCTGATTTTACAAATGTCAGCTGGTACTAAGCAGCAATCCCTTGCCGAGGGTATAATACAACCTTAAATAAAACATATTGATCATTAATGTCCTTTCACTCGCTCTCCCTCTCTCTCTCTCTCACACTCTCTCTTTATTTCTCTTTCTCTTTTTCTCCCCCTTACTCTCACTCGCTCTCATTTTGTTCATCGGACTTGGATATCATAAAGCAGGCGAAATTTAAAAAAAAAGAGTATTGTTTGAAAAATATGACTGCAAGGGTATTCAAGATTCAGCAAAAGAAAATTCGCTTTCATGTATATTGTTCACTGGAATCGAGCTTGCTGGATTTTAAGAAAAGCAATTTGCGTAACTACCCACTGTTTGGTATTGATTTCCTTACTGCAATTGAACGCATATTGCCGATTGGGCTATAATTTATACGCATTCTCTTGCAATTTCGCATTGAATGCGAATCTCTGGCAACTGCTGCAGCAGCAGAATCTGAAAATCACGCCGCTGGCAATTTTAATCTCGTTTATTAGCCATTTTTCAAGTGATACACATAATTTTCAATTTTGCCATTTCTCGCCCGGCCCGAATGGGAAGCCGGCAATGGAACAGGGCACCTGCAGCCGGTACAACTCACACACTGACACCCACACCCACACCCATACCCACATCCTACAATCGCAATTTACACCCTCGAGCCCTTTGTCCTTATTGAACATGGAAAAAAATGCATTGCATACATGCAAGCAGGCACTGGGCGGGCTACGTGAAGGCAATGACGAAACGTGGCGCCCATTTGGAAGCCATTAGGACCAGTCAGCCGGTTAGCCGGGATGGCCTGCCTTCCTGCTGAACCAACAAAAACAATCGAGCAGCGCCAACAATAACAAGGCGCCTATGCAACGAGTGAAGCGCCCACACTGCGGCAGGTAGCATGGCAAAATTTTGCTGAAAAAGTAATAGAAGCCGCTGCAAACGCATATTGGGTAGCAACATTTTTTTTTTTTCTCCCTTCTTGCAGCCAGCAAAGCGCATTGAAGGGCGGGGCAACGGGGTCAGCGTTTGTGCCACAAACAGCTTTGCAGCTCTGTGGAACAAATTCATGCTAGCAATTGTGGTTGTGTTTGTTGTAATTGTTGTGCTGCACTCGAGCTTTCAATAAGCGTTAAGATAGACATGAACATGGTAGTAACAGGCACTGTTCCCAGTTCCCATGGCAATACAAGAACTTCAATATGATTGGTAGCAGCAACTCTTCAAAGCTGATGCTGATGCTGTTTTCATATGCAACTTTCTTCGCTCACTTCGCTATTAGATTTGCGTATGTATGTATGTATGTATGCATGTTTGTGTGTGCCTCACGCATGACACCTCCCTGCATAAGACCCTTAACACTTCCCCATTGTATCTGCCCCAATGCCGCGCCGCGCTGCAAGTTGTTGCAGCAAACGTAATTGCATTTGCTTGAGAATTTATGCTTGTATACAATTTGTACATTTCTCATACACTATCGGGGCTACATTCAGTGAAATATTCAACAAATTTTTTCAATAACCGCTGCCAGCAGAGGAAAGCTGTGTTCTTAATAAATGCTGCATTTTTATCTTACCCATTGTTCAGTGAAGCTTTTCAATATATTATTACATGTGTATGACCACAGATCAATTAGGCGCCGTTTTATTAAATTCAAGATGAAAATGGGGAATGCGTTGTATGCGACTTAACTTTTCCTAAGACCGGCTTTAAACTTAATGTTTGTCTTCAAAAAAAACTAATTTCAACGCATTCATGACTGTACACGTTTCTCGGAATTCTCGGAAAACAAACAAACCACAGGCGGATAACTGATAGGATGATGATAATAGGATGTTAAGGAACAAAAAACAGAGGCATATAATTCCGGCTATCACGTACTTATTATAAAGCTTTTTTAATAGGAATTTTTGATAATTGTAAAAGTCTAATTAATAATACTTAGATTTGGCAGCGTACGTACTTATTATATAACTTTTTTTTAAGGAATTTTTGTTAATTAAAAAAAAAAGCCTAAATTTAACAAAAGATTTGGCAGCGTACATGCAGTTCGTTGCTAAAAAATATGATATTTTTTGTTGTTTTTACACTCGCTAACAATCTGCTAAAGTTTCTACCTGTGTGAACTTGGTTGCTTCCTCTGCCTCCCAAACAGCTCTTAACTCAACTTCACCTTCACTTGAAAATTGCATTTTCTACAAAAATGTTTGCCATGTCGGGAAAATGCTTCGCTTCAAATGTGTGCGTGTGTGTGTGGGTGTGTGCATGGGTGTATTCCACTAAAGTGGGTTGGTAAGGAAAATATGAAAACAAATGGCGCTTGGGCTTCTGGCTTTGACCAAACAACCGAAATTTCGTTTGTACTGGTTGCATTAGGATGCTCAAAGTTCGTTCGGTTTAGATGACAAGCGATTTATGTGCACATTTGCTTTAAATTTTTTCTTTATTTTTTTTTTGTTTTTTTTTTTGAGTATTTTATTGGCATGTTTGAGTGGTGCTTCAGTGTGGGTACTACTTATTCATTCACAAAGTATGGCCAATTGCCAATAAGCCATTGTCTTTGTTTTTGCTAAAACTATAAGTTCAATAAGTCAGATATAAAGGAAAAACAGTATAGATATGGAGGAAATCACAGTTCTATTTGAAAAATAGTACAATACCGAAAAATATTGAAGAGTGAATACACTACTTCCATACTTGTACAAAATTTTTGATTTGTTTTCCTATTTTCTCTTACTTTGATGTTGATTTACAGAGTAATCTGCGACAAACAATTATCAGTCGATAGATCAAAAACTTTTGAGGAGTCTATTAATTGTTAGGTATCAAACCAAAATATAAGGGTTAAAAGGAATACCTAAACTTTTTTAGTACTCGATTATGCTTCATTTTGGGAAAAATCTTTCCTAACTTTAATATTTTTAAACTTTAGAAAGTGTATATCATATACATTTCTGCTAAATGAATAATCGGTCGAAAGTAAAGTTATATTATAAAAATAAAATTTATAATAATTTTATCATAGTTTTTATGTATGAACATTGCCATCGAAATCAGCGATTTAATTTTCATAACGGATTGAAATATATCACACAACTTGCACTGCATTTGCTTTACTTACCTTCGTTATCTGCAGTAATTGAATTATCCATGAGAATTTAGTGCGCAGCATACCACGCTTAAAGTACATCTTAGGCGTCCAGCAAGGAGCACCTTCCTGCTTATTTTATTGCATGGCAAACCACAGAAACCCTAAGCAAATTAAATTAGGGTCTCAGCGTTTCTATATTACAGACTATTTCCATCATACAGTATACATATGTACGTATGTTTTGCACTGGTTGTGATTGCGCGCGCGACGGAAAAGCCGCTTATCAGATTTGCTCTGGACAAGAGGCGGGCGGCGGATAACCTGAGCGGGGGTCGCCGACGTGCACGCAGATAATGAAATAGACATCGACAATAGAGTTATAGTAATACGGTTTTTAGTTTGTTTACTGCAGCTCGCATTCCATGAAATTTATATATATTTATGTTCGTATGTTTGTACATATGTACATACACAGCAGTAGCAGGCACACACACTATGGCTATGGGATTTTAATTAGCAATTATTTGTGTTCAAGGTGCGGTAGTAGTATGTTGTTATTGTTTTCGTTCTGAGCGAGTTTTACTTTTTTAACAACTTGTAAGCTTTCCTCTAGCAATTTCGAATTTCCATTTATTTTCACAATTAGCACTTATTTCACAATTTATCGAACACGTTGTGCAAGTGTTGCCCAGCGGATTACAGACTTGGCTAATAAGCGACATTTCCAACACTTACAAACAACGCACGCTGCTCAGTGCTATTGGGGAGCGAGCATAATGTACGTCACAACTAAATATTAGTAATTAAACTCCCGTATCGATTGACAAAGATTAAACCCATATGATTTTGATTTTGCATATACTAAATACAATTAATGAAGCCTTTCCAAATAAACCAGTATTTATTGTCTATTATCATTGCATACATAAATTGGAGACAGCTGGCAGCCCTATACTACAGTAAACGCGCACTTTCGTCTCCTTTCGTATAAATCTGAATTTCAGTAATAAAACTGGCATGGAAACGCAATTTAGCGACAAATCCGTCGTGAGGACGATTTGTAATCATTATTCACCCTCCATGTAAGCACTAGCCCGATGAAATGCAATCTGTGACAGCCGCATACAAACATTTTGACAGACTACCTAAACCAGTCCAAACGATGAAGAATTGATACGCACACACACATGCACATACATATAGATCTATGCACGCATACATGTGAATACTTGTATGCGGATGTACGTATGCATATGCAGGTCACATGCACCCGGCGCGCTCGCCAAAAAAAGTGTTAAGTGCTTTTGCTGTTTCTTGCAGCCATGCAATCATTGTCAGCAAATATTCAACAGTAGCCGGTAACCAGGACTAGAACCAGGTCTCGGACTGGAAGCAGTACGAAAACAGGAATCCGACCCAACCACAACTGTAGCTGCGATTTATATGCATCGCAAAGTGCAAAGAGCAAAACAAAGGAGAGGGTGTAAAAAAAACTACAACCTTCACAATTTTTTCCCTGCTCTAAACCAAATGCAAATGCAAACAACAGTTGGCATCAATCGTAATGTCGTAAGTCCCGCAACCCGCCACCATCCTCCTGTGCCACGATTTGTTCCCACTTTATTGCTGGAATTAATGATGAAGGGCTGCTGCGTTTGGTTGGGTCTTCGACTGATTTTTTTATTTTTGGCGGGTTTTATAACTTTTTTTTTATTTGGTTTTCTGTGTTTTAAGTTGAATCAAGTGGAAATTCAATTGATTTGCTTTGGCTTTGCTTCGGGACAAAGTGAAATACGCAAAAGGCGTTATAATAATGGGCGAATGTTTCCGCCACGCCCACACGTACATATATGTATGTTGAGCTTCAAAGGAGCCAACGATTGCGACTTGGCCAGCAAACCGCAATCAAAGCCAACAAGTGTAAAACTTATTTGAGTGCAAAATCATTTTGCAAATATTACAAAAAGTAACGGCTCGTCTTGCTAGGCTTTCCACCCCAACCCCCTAACCACCAACAATTGAACGATTTATAAATGTGTTTCTGGCTGCGTCAGCATGTCGCCAGGGAAATGCTCCTGGTCACGCCCATTGTCCAATCGGTTGTAAAATCTAATAATTAAAGTCGAGTATAGAAACTTAATTTTAGCCTAATGAAGTTTTCATGGAAATTCAATTTGTGTGTGTTTTTGTGGGGAATCCTATGTGAGCCAAAGCACAAACCGCAACTTTGATATGCATAAATGCAATTTGCATTGTAAATCACATTTAAATTGAAATAATTAAAATTGAGTATCAATATTGCAATTTTCCTTATACCCTTTGCAGCTACATAAATATTCACCAGCAGCTGTTCCATGTTCGAGCCAAACAATTTCCAGATATAACGTTGGGACACTAACAAGCCACGCCCCCCAGCATGGGCGCACCAAAGCCTCTGACAGCTATTAGCCTGCTTTTAGTGCTGATCATAGCTCAGAGTCAGGCGGCGAGGGAAAGTAAGTTGAACATAAATATAATATTATATAAATATAAGCAAAATAATTGTATATAAAATTATATTTTTATATTAAGCGAGCCGGCAAAGTGGTTCAAACCGGGTTATTAACTGAAGAAATTTTTGCATATTCAAAATAAAGTAAAATGCTGTTATATTAAAAATAAAAAAATGTAACTAACAAAGATTTAAACTAAGAGCTGGGTTAATGAATGCAGAAAACTTAGTTCAAATTATTATTATAAGGCTCACAATTCTAAACTAAACGAATTGCCAAATAGCTATCGCGTTTAATTATTTAAAACATTCAATCATTTTGAAATTCAGAAAATACAAACAAACTTTAATTGAAGATATTTTGCTCTGCCATTCACAGATCCACTCAAGGATCCGCGAATCTGCGGTCGTCCGCAGTGTGAGAAGACAAACTCGAAATTCGGCTATGGTGAAAATCTTTACAAATATGATTATACGGTCGCATTGCGTACGGAATTCGCCAGTTCCGGTGATAACAGTTCCGATCTGTTTTTAAAGGCCAATTTGGACATTTTCTTTCCCAAGGCCTGTGAAGGCTACCTGCGTATCAATACCGTTAAGCTTTACGATACGATACAGGAGATCAACAATGAGAGCGCTGGCTCTGAGGAAAAACCGGCCAAAGATGTATATGACTACTATGATAACATGGATACTACGCGAGATGATGAAGAAGCATTACCAGACTTCGAGAATATGCATCCCAAGAGCAACGATTTGGCCTTTGACCTAACTAAAAATCTGCTGCGCTTTGCCTTTCACGATGGTCTCATAAGCGAAGTCTGTCCCACTCAGCTAGAGACGCCTTGGGTGCTGAACTTTAAAAAGGGCATCCTGTCCAGCTTTCAAAACACCATGCTGCGATTCGATGTGGACCTAAATACCACTGAGACGGATGTATCCGGCGACTGTCAGGTGCAATATGCGTTGGAATCCACCGACAGCGTCTATGTGACCATACGCAAGACCAAGGATATATCCTCGTGCCGACGACGTTATGCCACACAATCGGTGCTGCAAACGACGCCGTACACTTTCCGGGACGACAAAACCATTTGGCCCATCTTGAATTCGCAGAGTTATTGCAATGTAAGTTCCTCGACAGAATACAAATTTACGAAAATAGAACAAACAAAATAAATAAAAAATAAACAAGAATTAAGCCTTTTCAGACCCAGATTGCATTCACATATTATTTACATAAAATGAATAACGTGAATTATATACATAGCTTGTTTCACCTGGCCAAGTCCTGGCCAAGTTTTTATCATAAAATTATATACATCATTCTTTAACAGATTTTCACTGTTCGATTATAACACAATCTATTTTCAAAGTTTAGCTCTTTAATTAAAAATTTTAATTTAGACTTTGCCTTCTCAATAATGTTAAAATAATATCTGAAGAGCGCTTCCAAAATTATTAAGCTATTCAATAACCTTTAAAATTTTTTCAGTTGACCATTGACAACAACGTTTACCGAGAGATCAGTTGCACGGAGAGCCATCTGCTGGTGCCCTTTTCGAATGGCAGCTCTGGAGCATTGACCACCACGCGAAGCACTCTGCGGCTGGAGGGCGAAGATACCTACAGCATAAGTGAATTTTTGGAGAAAAGTAAGTAGTATATACAATTATATTCTAGGCATCGCTGATCCTACATCATCTTTTCCCTCTGCAAAACGTAGATATCGAACTAGTTGAGAGGCGTTCTGCGCTCATCTTTGATCACACGCCGCCTGTAAAGCCCAGCCATGATGAGATCAAGGCAGCCCGCGAGTTGCTGGTCCAAATGTGCGCCGTCGGCTTCCCCAATATACAACGCGAGTTTATCGATGTGTTCACAAATTTTCTTCAAACCTCGAAGAGTCTCGACTACAAGACGCTGACTGTGCTATTGCAGCGTTCGGCGAGCATTTGCCCACAGGGAAAGTGAGTAGCCTCTAAACACATTGAACCCAGCGAAGGTCACGCGATAAGGTGCTACTTTGCTTATCAATTGCAGGAATCACGTGCTCGAATCGCTGCCCTATATTGGAAGCACTGCGTCCTATCAAGTGATGCGCGATCAAATTGTGAACGAGAAACTATCCAAGGAAATGGCGCACAGCTGGATGACATCGCTGTCATTTATTACACGACCCGACCAGGAGACACTGGAAACCTTCTACACCATTCTAGACTATGCGAGAAACAAACTGGACCCCGAGTACACACTGGGCGCCACGGCTGTTGTGCACAGCTACTGCAAGCATCACGAAAACTGCGGGGAGGATCTCAGGGTTGCACAAATTGTCAATCTACTGGAGACGGAATTCCTCAGTCAGTTTAAAAGATATCGCAGTGATCGCAGGCAGCGCGAACGTTTGATTATACTGCTCAAAGGCCTGGGCAATATAGGCGTTATATCCGACCGCTTTGCGGAGCAATTGCAGCTGATTATAAAGGATAATGTGGTCCCAGTGGACATACGCTTGCAGAGCATTCTCGCCTTCAGGCGCGTCAATTGCTTGAAGTATCGCAGCTACTTCTTGGACATCTATGGCAACTATACGTTCAATTCGGAGCTGCGCATCTACAGCTACTTGCAAACCATGCGCTGTCCGGATTATATATATATTGGTGCAATCAAGTCCATTCTGGAGCATGAGCAGATCAACCAGGTTGGATCATTTGTTTGGTCTCATCTAACCAATTTGGCCAAGTCCAATTCGCCGGTTCGCATTGAGGCGCAGGGCCTACTGCTGAACGATGAACTCGCCGATAAGTTCAAGATGGATATACGCAAGTTCTCGAGAAATTATGAGCACAGCTTGTTCTTTGATGAGTATAATTTTGGTATGTGAATAATGACGTTCTCTAATTAAATATAATCACATTTAAATGCTTCCCTTTTATAGGCACAACAACCGATGCAAATCTCATTTTTGGCACCGATTCCTACCTACCTCGCATAGCCAGCGTTAATTTTACCGCTGATCTATTTGGCCAATCTGTTAACTTCTTTGAGTTCAGCGCACGCGCCGAAGGCTTTGAGGAGCTGGTGGCCAATGCTTTTGGGCCCAAGGGACCTTTTAATGGTGAGCTGTTGCGTAAGAAGCTCTCCTTTTTCAATCGCTGGCTGGGCAACGAGAGCGCCGAGGAGGATGATACCTTGGAGAATCTGCTCAGCTTGGAGAGCTTGCGT